AGAACAAGAAGATGCTGAAGAAGAAGATGCTGAAGAAGAATAACAAAAAGTACAAAAACAAACTTTCAGATCAAACATGGTGGCAATAGTGAAGCTATTACAGCGCATCAAACTCAGGAATGAGCATATTAATGGCTTGAAGAAAACCCCATTTTGGGCATTGTTTGATGCAATATTGAAAAACAAGATGAATTGTAAAGAATGCAGCAAATATGATGACATTTCACTGAAAATAATTCAAACATACCAGCCAGGCAGCAGTGGTTCTTTCCAGTTAGGACCAGAAACTGTAAAGCTAACAACAAAAGACATCAAGTCCATCTTTGGTATATCTTGTGGAGATGAGCCGATACATCTTGGTTATGGAAATAAAAGCAAATCATCATTTCTGACAAGAAAATACATACAAACTGAAACGTTGTCGAGCACAACCATCACCAACTTGTTGCAAAAAGCGTTGAAAGGCAAGAAGAAAGAAGACACTGAAGATGTGATAAGGATGCTGTATATGTATACTTGTTTGAAGCTTTTTTTCTCTACATCAGGAACAACAGTTGGTTGGGTATTTCTTAATTACATGGAAGACATAAACTCAATGAGAAAATACAATTAGGCTGAAGCAATAAGGAACACACTGATGTCTTCAATTGAAAAATACCAAAAAAATCCAACTAAAGTCACAGGATATGTTATGGCTCTCTTAGTAAGTCACATCTTTACTCTATTCTATTAGTTTGTTGTTAATAATAAATAGTATTACTTCTTATTCAAATGACAAAAATTCTTTACATTTGCTTTGTAGTATTGGTTGTGTGAGCACACACTGATCATCCACCCTGAACTTAGCAAAGCATGCCCAAGGATGATCAAGTGGAATCTTGCCAAATTACATAAACGTATGAAAGTCATATCACTACATCAGCTGACAACAAGACAGGTCACATCCTCATCTCATTTGAATTTCAATTCAAGTTGGGAAAAATCCCTATTTTTGTACACTGAATTATTACTGAGAAACTTTTTAGTTTCCTAAACTTCAATTATTTCAAAAACTAATATCTATTGTATGTTGACCTACAGGTAACTAGTGCTAAATTGAATGAGGAAAGTGGTGAAGAACTTGATGACACTGAAGAAGAAGAAAAAGAAGATGCTGAAAATGCTGAAGATGCTGAAGAAGAAGATGCTGAAGAAGAAGAACAAGAAGTACAAGAACAAGAACAACAAAAACAAGATGCTGAAAATATTGAAGAAGAAGAAGAAGATTCTGAAGAAGAAGAAGAAGAAGAAGAAGAAGATGGTCAATATGGTGAAGACTGCCACGAAGAACAAAAGCCAGCAAATGAAGACTTTAATGACTTCTGCAACATTATACTCAATGATGCACCTGAGGGAGAAGAACAAATTCATCAACAAACACTTGAGAAACTTCAAACTGAGAACAACAATTTGCAACTAGACAACATAGTGAAGACCATCTACATAAATAAACTTGAAGAGGATAACAGGCTACTCACAACACAAATAAAACAATTGAAAGATGAAAATTCTCGATTGCATAACCAATTGGTTGAAAAAGAGGTCCACGAGATAACCCAAGAAGTTTGTGCAGTAAAACATTCTGGGACAGATGGAAAGAATGAAGGTCATACAATAAATGATGAAAATTCTCAAGTGCTGCAGAAAGAGGTCCATGAAAATTCTGAAGTGGTGGACAAAGAGCTCCATCAGAAAGAGGTCCATGAAAATTTTGAAATTGTGGACAAAGAGCTCCATCAGAAAGAGGTCTACGAGATAACGCAACAGCCTTTTACAACAAAACATTGTGAGACAAATACAAATGTGAAAGATTGTCAAAATTCTCAGTTCCAGAATCAGTTACTGGAGGAAAAAGTCCATGACATAACCCAACAAGTTTGTGCAATAAAAGCCGATGATCTGACAGAATCAAGACAAACAAATCTGCAGAATTCCATGATTAAAAATATCAAAGCTAAAGCAAGAAAGACTACTGAGGTGTCAGATTATGAGTATAGAGGCAAGAAAGTTAAAGTTGAGACAGAGAAGGAACACAAAGATGAGACAATCTCAAACAAGTATGCTGTGGCTCAATTCCTACCTCCTGAAGATAAATATAAACTACAAATTCTTTGGAAAGAAAAGCAAACAGAATCAAGGTATAATCTTACATAAATCTTTCATTTTTTCATGTAGTACAAATATATGAAATGAAACTGAGAAATAGCTCTATTTTCTAAAAATATTCTGACTTACTTATTAACACATTTTTTATTGTTTTGTAGTGCTTGTATATGGTTTGGCGCAATATATGAAAATTGTATGTTTATTAATGATATCAAGAACTTGGTAAAAGGGACAGACATATCCACCTGTGTACGTATAATATTTATAATATTTTAACACTGAAAAACTTCTTATTAATTTGTTAACATCACTTTTGTGTTTCAATTTGATAGACAATTGATGCATATGCTGAGATTCTTCAAAGAGAACCGGAAGCACAGAATTCTGGTGATGGAGCAGAGCACAATGGCAATTGTTTCATACTGTCAAGTCTATATTGGGTAAGGAATCAATGTGCGTGTGTCAATTCTATACTTTATCTTCCATTCAATTTTGGTTTCAAAATAGATTTTTTGTGTTTGTTATCATTCTTGTGAATGTTCTCAAATTTTGATTTTGGTGCCATTGCTTGGAATATACTCAGATTTCATTGTTTCATACTGTCAAGTCTATATTGGGTAAGGAATCAATGTGCATGTGTCAATTCTATACTTTATCTTCCATTCAATTTTGGTTTCAAAGTAGATTTTTTGTGTTTGTTATCATTCTTGTGAATGTTCTCAAATTTTTATTTTGGTGCCATTGCTGGGAATATACTCAGATTTCAAACCAATTTGAGTGACAAATCGTAGTTAATCATGTTTTGTTGCTTTTCACATATTGAGTTCGAACCATTACTGTGAATATTCACATATATCGATACATCCATATGTTAATCGTAGTTAATCGACATGAATATTGAGTTCGTACCATTACTGTGAATATTCACATATGTTTTGTGAAAAACAGCCAATGTTGAATAAGAAAACTTCAGAACAAAGGAAAAAGATTTTGAAAAATACTTTGCAAGAATCCCTCCCATGTCGATACATCCATATCCCTATCCACAATTTCAATCATTGGACATTACTTGTTATCGACAAACACTTGGGGACTTGGAAACATTTCAACTCTCTGAGACCAAGAAAAGGAAAGGACAAGCACTACAATGTTGCAAATCAACTGGTAAGAACAATTTCAGATTAGCATTACAATAATCAGATGTAAATCATTACATACTTTATGTTGATGTTTTTTATAGCAAAAAATCATCCATCAATACATGAAGGATACACCTTGTCAAGCAGAAAAAGCCTGGAATCCTGATGTCAAGATTGAATCAGTCAAAGACAGCCCTCAACAAGAAGCAATGACGTATGTTAATTTATTCTAACTAACAAATTTTAATATCTTTTTCAAAAAAAATTCTTTTTTCCCTAACTGTGTCAAAAATGATATCTGCAGGAATGACTGTGGAATTATTGTTTGCTACATCATAAGACAATACATGAGGCATCAACCAATTCCAAACACATTACCACCAGACACATCCACAAGACTTAGAGCAGACATGGTACATGAGTTCCTCAATGATCCACAAAGATCAATCAAAGTCAAGTAGAGTCAAGATTGCAACCTTCAATGAAATCTCTTTTGATGTGTAACTCAATGAATTCTTTTTTGTAACACTCTGATACAATGACTAATGTTTTTGTTAATAGTTCCAAGCATATTACCTAACAAACATATTACAATTTCTATGATGTGTAATGGAATATTTTGTCATACTCTCAAAGATATATGCACCCGAGCTTTGTTGATGTTTTTGTCCATATTCTCAATTTCTATTATCCTGTTCCTCACACTACTATATGGCAAAAGCGAAAATAGTATTACATGTGAAAATAGTGGACACAAAACTTACTGTTGTTTCAATCACTTATTTTCAAACTTAGAAACTTTAAAACTGAGAATATTTTCAGTTTTATACAGATCACTCAATTTTCAAACAACAATATTACTATTACTACAACAATTTATTTGCTGCCTCACAATATTATGACAATTTGAAAAACTAAAATTCCAAACAAAGAATATTTTCACTTACGGTCCACTGTTACTTTAATCAAAACATAAAGCATTGACCACATCTATTTAGAATATTAATTCACATTCATTTAATTCATCACATTTATAACTAGTTCCAATTTATAACAAGCGCCTCACATTATTATCACAAAAATAGCTATTTTGAACTAAAAACTTAAACTGAGAATATGTTCACTTTTTATACAGTATTCACATAATTTGCAAAGCAAGCATTCAACAGTCAAGTTTATTTCTGAAAGCCAACTAAACAACATTATCACAACAATTTATTTGCTGCCTCACAATAATATCACAATATGAAAAACTAAAATTCGAAATAAAGAATATTTTCACTTACAGTCCACTGTTACTTTAATCAAAACATAAAGCATTGACCACATCTATTTAGAATATTAATTCACACTCATTCAATTCATCACATTTATAACTAGTTCCAATTCATAACAAGTGCTTCACACTATTATCACAAAATCAGCTATTTTGAACTAAAAACTTAAACTGAGAATATGTTCACTTTTATACAGTATTCACACAATCTGCAAAACAAACATTCAACGGTCAAGTTTATTTCCAAAAGCCAACCAAACAATATTATCACAAACAATTTCAAAATTAAAATCTGAAACTAAGAATATTTTCACTTTCAATTCAATGTCACTTTATTCAAAAACATAGAAGATTATTACTCAGTGCTCAACAGCACAAACTGCTACTTTAAGAAATTTATGAATACGAAATTTTTACAATAACAAAGCAACTACAAAAAATCACAAAGCCTCTTTACATGATTTCTTATTGTGATTGCCAACCTTCCCACATCTACTACAAGTAATTTGTCTCACTTTCTCACCATTTGAACGAATCCTCTTCTTATTTGGCCTTCCTGGTTGCTTCTTAGACAAATGAGGAAGAACAACTTCACTATCACCATCAACATTGCAATCTGGTTTCCAAATTGAAGGAACAGGATATATGGGAAAAGAGTAGCACTCTCGATAACTTTGAACATAGAAGTATTGATCAACAAATAAACTCAAATCATGTCCACTCTTTTGTACAGCACCAACTGCATGTGCACAGGAAAACCCTTTCAACTGCCACTCGCCACAAGAATATATTCGTCTACTAATGTCAACTGAAACAGATGGATGCGAATGCACCTCATAGACATCATTTCTAGATGAACTAACAATCCATGGCCTCGAAGTATTAAAACCATCATGCAACTTGGACTCCATTTTAGGGCAAATCAAACCATTCCATTTATTAACAAGTTCCCTCCTCTTAGCAATTTTCCTCATCAACTTAATTCTTACACTATCAATCAACTTTGTGATAGGCAAGTGGCGTTCCTCTCGTATCCACGAATTGAAAGATTCAGCTACATTTGACCACATCTCTCCAAAGCGTTTCCCTCGAAAGTATGCATTACTCCAATGATCATATAGTATGTCATCTAAAAACTTCTCAACTCTTAACCCACCTTTAGCCTGTAACTTAACCAAACATTAATGAAATGTTTCTTCAGTTGGAGCATATGCACATTTCCCAAACAAAGTGATCAACTTTTCTTTCAATCCATGAAACATACCACACAAATGATGCCTCAAGTTCATCTTCAAATGATATAAACAATAAGCATGGAAAGCCATTGGGAAAACCTTTGGTAACACTTCAACTAATCCAAGGTTACGATCTGACACAAATATAACATTTCGTTCTGGTGAAACAATTCTACTCAAATGCTCTAAAAACCAGCGCCAATTATCTTGATTCTCTGAGCCAACAACTACAAAACAAACAGGAAAGAACCCTGCATGTACAAAACAAAAAAAAAAGAAAATATTATATTATTCTTAGAAAATGGTAACACTCTAATATTCAAAATATCAAACACTAAAATGAATAACTGAAAAAATAAAAAAGGCATATACAACAACAATATTATATAAAATTTAAAACATTCAATCATATTTCTAAACTGAGAACTTTCTCAATTTCAGAACAGAGAAAACAAATTTCTTATGTACCTTGATTTCCATCTTTTCCTGTAGCAGCAAGTAAATTTCCTCTAAATCTTCCCTTCAAAAATGTGCCATCAAGGAATAAGAGAGGTCGACAATAATCAAATCCACTAATGGAACCATGAAAAGAAAGAAATAATCTCTTAAACCGTTTAGTATCATCATCACACTCAAACTCAATGTAACTCCCTAGATTGCAACTCTTTGGAACATCCACATACCATCTTAATTGGTCAAATGACATTATGTAGTCTCCAAAAATCTCACCTTTTGCTTTTTCTACCCCCAACCAAGCTTAACGATAACTAACTCTCAGTCCATACCCCAACTTAAAATCCCGAACAACATGAACTGGACGTGTCAATGGATTATCACGAACACTTTCAACAATCAAATCAGCAACTAAATCAGAACTCATACGAGAATGAGTCATCGTACGTACTTCAGCACCACATATGTGGACATTGTTCAACTTCCTTATATAAAAGAACCCATTAGCATTCTCCACTCTACCATGAACATTCCACATACAACATTTTGTCTCTCTAAACAAACATTGTGCAGTAACACGAACTTTATCATTCTTAACAAATATGAACTCAAATCCACACTCAATAGAAAACTTCGACAATGCATTACGAAATTCAACAATTCCACCTTCAAATTTCTGTCCTACATGTGTAATACTAACTGCCCAACTAGCAGACAACAGTACTAGACAACTTTGGTGATGACGGACACGTGGCCTTAGGAAAACGAGTCGGTTTCCTAAATTTCCCAAAAA